AGTCATGATTAACTTGAATTCGAGTCTTTGTCTCACAAGTACAGTACTCAAGCTTTATCTTTAGCACTTGTTGCTGAGACCCTAAGTTGTGTCGTGGTGTTCCTCTGGGGTGTAATGTAGTGGAGGGCCAGTAGTTCATAGCTAATCTTCAGTCTGCTGTGCATAGCTGTGTTAGGATACCGTTGTATTCTTATTTTTGTGGGGCAGGGGCAGCTAGGAGTCTTACTGACCACAAGGCAGTTCCTTCTGGAATCTTATTTGAAATATTTTGAAAGTGTGAAGGGCTTTCTTAGATTTGCTGCTCAAGATCTGCACAAAAAAAGTGACTGAAAAACTTTGTGGAGCTTTTTGTATGATCTTAATCACTCTGTAAGTACCTACAAGTTTTGTTTACACAGCCACTGATTTTGAGGGAAGATACTTGAGAAACATTCAGTGTTGCAAGGAGGTAAAGTTAATGAAAAAGTATTCTGTCTTTACTGAAACAGATGCACAGAAATTCAAGGCAAAATTTGAAGAATGCAGAAACGAGGTAGACAAGAGAGCAAAAAAAGGTAAGGGTTAAGTCTTAAATGTTGTGCATCTTCTGTTTGCTGGTTATAGCCCCCAGTGTGTCGTTGTGCTGGAGCAGACTCACTCTGTACCGAACTGCAGCCTTCAGTTCAGGTGCTTTTTTTGTCTGCGAGAGTAATCACTCACAGGCGTGATGAATGCCTTCTTTCTTGTGGAAGGCTGTTACAATTGCTATTGGGACATGGCTTTGCTTTTTCTTTTCTTTTCTTTTTTTTTTTTGTTTTTTTTTGTTTTGGAACTGCTGCAGAAGAAGTGTTTTGGTTTATAATACTCAAGTGAACTGTGAGCACTCTAACCACAGTGATATTTTCTCCTCCTAGTTTCCCATCCCGAATTCCACAACTACGTAGTCATGGAAATAGAATGTTCAGTTCTGATACTTAATGTATTTGGAGTGGTAGAATGTCTTCACGGGTCTTTATTGAATAGCTTAATGCATCACATTGTGTAATTGTCTGTTACAAGATAGCATATCTTGTGAAATAAACACCTCCATCTTCCTAAAGTACAGATTACAAGTAGTTGGCGAGCAACGCTTTTGATATTCAGATCAGAATCCTTCACTCTTAGGAACTGCCCCTCTGTCCCACTTCCAAAGTGGGGAGATGGGGTCTTGGGGAGGCTGGTTTTCATTTGAGATGGACTAGAAGCTGGGACTTGGGAGATTTCTGTGTTGCATGGGGTCTGTTTCTGGTAGCATGAAAGCTGACCAAATGATAAATATTTCTCTGTCAGTACGGTTAGACACTCATCTAGTGATTAAAATATCCAAATGGTATTTCTTGAATTCTGACACTGGAAGGAATTAGTAAAGAAGAAACAGAATGAGTCACTCCAGTGCTCAGTGGAAAGTTGCTTTTGCTCTTACTCTAAATACAGGTTGTCTCTCCTCCCTATCCTCTTTACCTTCCACCTTCACTGTTCCTCTGTTACAGGAAAATTGACTACTTCCTCTGTGTAACTTTTTTTTTCCCCTCATCAATCTCTTAGCAGGCACAGACAAAAATGACAGTGCCGATAAAGTTGCTGAAAAACTAGAGGAGCTTTCTGTAAAGGATGAGAGCAAAGAAGCTGAGAAGAAAGAGACCAAGGAAAATGAAGAAAAGCAATAAATCATCCTGGGCCTTGCAGTTTTTCTTTATATTTTTTCTTTTTTTTATTTTTACAAGGGACTTTATAAGGAACTGAATTCAATGTTCAGGTTGTTTTTTCTAAGCTTTTGCCCTTTTGAAGATGTCTTCAGAAAATCCATTCCCCAGTCATGAAAATGTACTGTGCTAACTTTCTTTTCCATAGTGGAAACACTTATTTATGGTCATCCAAAAGAGTGAATAAAACAAACTTGAAACAGCATCAGAGGATAGAACTGAGTTTTCTATATGCTTTAAAGGCTTATGAATACAATTGTTTCATTGGGTGTTGAGATGCATGTTGTCCTACCCAGGCTAACTAGATGAACAGACTTTATGAACAGGGAAGATTAGGATGGCATGCATGTCTTCTGAAACTAATACAGCACTCCTTTCACATTCCTCTCTGCTCTTTGTTCCTGGGCAGGAAACACACCTGTGATTCTTGAAATGCAGCAGGTTTGTGACATTAGACAGTAGAGCATTCCTGGTGCACTATTAATGGTGTTCCATTGGACAGGGAAAATAAAGGGGGAGCAAACATTACGTGAGACCTGAGTATTATCTTCCTACTAGAAAATCTCAGCTCTGCTGCTCATGAAAGTCATTAATGTCAGCAATGCTTGAGCCTAGCACAAAGCTGTAGCTGTGAACCCAGATCTTCCACAATGTGCTTCTTGCTGACTGAAGGCGGTATTGGTCTCTATATTAAGATGTATGCAAAGAAGTCTTAAACGTTGGAGTACCAGCAGTCAGCATATTGTAACAATCACACTCTAAAATTTATAAGCCTTTGTTTTTGTGTTTTTTCAGGGCCTTGGAGCTTTATATTGCTTTTAAGAATTGGGGAGGTGGTGACCTTACAGGATGCCTTCTGGGAGTCTGTCCCTCTTGAAGGGAGAAGTTCAGTTATTCTCTTAGGTGATCATGTTGTACACACTGAAGGGGCACAACTCTTGCCAGTAATGAGCAAGTTGATCAAATCTCTTTCCTACAAGCGTTAATTGCTTGCCTGGTTTCAAGTTACTGCTAGAGAGTAGGAGAAAATATATATTAAGTGATAAAACCAACACAATTTAAGTTGGATAGATTAATTGAATTTTGTTGTTAACCACTAATACAAGGTTAGTGTTAGATAGCAATGGAATTCTATGTTACTATTCTCAAACTATGAAAACTGAACAAAACTTGCTAAACTTTGTATGGTGTTAATATTGGCTAGTGAGACCTCTGTCTTCATAAAAAGGCTTTCTAAGTAGACTGGACTCTGCAATCTATCTGAGGAAAACAGACCTAAAAAAATGCAACTTGTGTTTCTGCTTAGTACTGCCTTTTATGCTACCGAACCAGTAGTCTTACATGTGGAACTGCAACTAAGGTACTCACTTCATTCAAACAAAGCAATTCCTTTAGTGTTGTACACGTTCCCCTTCAAGTACAGCAGATATTAAAAGTCTATTAATTAACAAAGATGGTCGAAAGGCAAAATATGGTGTTCTTCAGTGTTTCTGGTTTGGAAATAACAAAGCAAAGCTCTTTTGAAGTACGTAGCATTTGAATGTAAAAGCCAAATTGTTATCCATGAGTCACTGTAAATTCTCTGATCTGATAATGTCAAACTGTGTCTAAATTGATAGAAATGACATTTAAAAATTTCAAAATAAATGTAAATTTTCATTTAAAAGATTTGCTGTTTATTTAAAGAACTGCTGGGAATGTGCTCTTGGCCTGTGGGGCAGATGGAGATGACAGAGCATGATGGAGGCAGCAACACGGGTGGATGTGGTTTCACTAGCATTGTGCTGCAGACAGGAGGAAGCATCATTTGCCTTAATATTCTAAGTGTTCCTGTCTTAATGTTTGCCTTAGTATTGACAAAGTCTATTTAACTGTATTACCTTCTTTCTCTCTCCATTCCCCCTCCCTTACCTGTGCGTACTTAACTGATTTTCAGACATTTCCCTTCCTGCTTAGGTTAATTGGTCCATGTTTACAGTTCATGGATTGCTAACAAGCGATTTCTCTGGTTAGCACTTGGCTGAGGAACGTTCTGGTCCTGTAGAGCTGGCTACTCAACAGCCTGGGGATGCCTTGAAGTTCTTCCAAACTGGACTTAGCTAAAATTGCTATTGCTTTGAAATAGAAGGAAGGGGAATAACCCAGTGCTTCGCTGATGCACCAAAATCTTCAATGATGTATCGTTTCAGAGCCAGAAGATAAGGGGAAGAATTGTTTGTGTAACTTCTCAGCACGTGAATTTAAGTACAGAGTATCAACGAGTGGTCTGCTGGTGAACGTGCAGCCTACAGCAGTCCCTCAAAGCGAGTTGTTTGTGGAAATACTTTTTGTTCATGTGAAGTTCAGGTTTGTGTGTACAGCGTTACAAACCAGAACCGGTGTTTTAAGCACAGACCAGGTCGTGGCCCAGTCCTGCAGTACACGTGAAGTAGCGCTAGCCTGCAAGCTCTTCTGGGGAGTTTTATTTAGACCTGACTCGTGTGGGTGGCCAAAGCGCGCTCCTAACACGCGTCTTCTGCTTTACTGTGTGCTTCAACAGTCAGCGACATGCATCCAGCCGCGGCGGGGCAGATGCTGCCCGAGCACAGCCCTGCTTCGGCTCGTCGCGCTGCTACGTGCGCCGGAAGGCTTTCAGCTCAGCACCGCGCGGCGCTCTTTAAAACGCCGACCCGTTAGGCGCGGGGCAAAGGACCGGACCGAGCGTTCCGGGCCGAGCAGCTGCCGGCCCCGCAGCCCCTGGCGCCCCGCCTCCGCCCACCCGGCGCGCTGCAGCCGAGGCTCGTGGCAGCGCCCTGCCCCAGGCTGCCGCCGCTTCCCAGCGCCGCAGAGCGGCGGATGACGCCGCGGGGCAGAGCCCGGCTCTCGCGTAACCGCGTGCCTTCGGGCCGGTGCTCGCTCTGCTTTTCCACATATTCAAAGCCGACGCTTTCGGTTTTATTGCAAACTCTGCAAAGCTGAGAGCCCTCGTTTTATTTGAGTTTTTGCTCCCGCAGTTCTTCTTGTTCTGTTCCGAGCTCCGCCAGGCCCGCAGCGCTCGCCTCCCGTCCCGCGGCCCCGCGGTTCGGAGCAGCGCCGCGTCGGACGAGCCGAGCGCCCGCACCGCCCCTCCGAGCTCCTCGGCGCCGCCCCGCGCGGAACCCGGGGAGCGGCCCCGGCACGGGGAGCGGCCGCGCCGCGCTCCTCCCGCGCCGCCTGAAGGGGCGGCCGACATCCGCCGGGTGGGCCGCGCCGGGGGTGGGATTTCCTGTGCCGGAGGTCAGCCGCGGCCCGGCCCTCGCTGCTGCCGCCCGGCCCCGCTGTGCCCGCGTCCTCCCGGCCGCTCCTCCCGGCTCGGACTCGCTCAGTGATGTGTAAGCCACAGGATGCCCAGCAGCACCGGCAAGAGGTTTAAACCGACCAAATACATCCCCGTCTCCACGGCGGCCGCCTTGTTAGTGGGTTCGACGACTTTATTTTTCGTTTTCACGTAAGTACCACCGTGGGGGCCGGCGGCTCCCCGGCCCCGCTCCCTTTCGGCCGCCGCCGGGCCGGGTTAGCGGCGCCGGAGCCGCCGGCCGTGCGTTCTTTATGTAACCGAGCCCGGAGCCCGAGGAGCTGACGGGTGCGTCGAGATTTGCTCGAGGGAAGGAGCGGGGGATGGGGGGGGAATGAAACTTTTTGTTGCCCCCGTTTTCTGTCGCTCCCGCGTCCCCTCATGGCAGAGCGCAGTGCCGGCGCTGCGGGGCGGTGGTCCGGCCGTGCCGCCCAGCGCGGGGTTCGAGCCGCGGGTGGCTGCGCGGGTTCGGCTGTGCGGGGCTGTGCGGGCTGTGCGCTGGAGCGGCCGAGGGCTCGGTGTTGGTGTGCGCGTGGCCGCGTTTTTAACCTCCTTAAGTTGTGCCGTAATGTAATGCTCGGCGTTTCACGGCGCTCCTTACTGGTGCGGGTATCGTGGCTCAGCATGCAGAGTGAAATGCAGATGTCGTTTTGCCAAGCGGTTTCTTAAATCAGAGCAGCGTTTGACGCCGAGCAGTGCTCTTGGCTTAGTGTGACGTGATTACTGGCTGCTGGCTTTAATGCCTCTCACGCTTAGGGATCGCCGAGCCCTTTCAGGATACCGCACCGTTTCAGCTGGTAGAACCGGTATGTGTATAAACCCATCCTTGTCATTGGGCTCCTCATCATGGCTGGGGCCTCGCGGGCACACGCAGCACACAAGTTGCCTTTGGCCACAAACTCGGCTCACAGCGTGCTGTGTTTATTCTGTTCACGTGGTTTCACAATCAGAAAAAGGGATCTTAATGCCAGCATTTTCCTGCACCTGGAGAGATGGGTGCATGCTGAGGTTGTCTCGGGAGCTGCGTGTTGCTTTTCATGTGACGCTCTGAATGTGTGGCTGTGATGGATGTGCTGCTGTGCAGCCCTTGGCTGTTACACCCTGCCATGGCAGCAGGGTGCCGCGGGGATGTCCCTGTCAGAATCTGTCACTGTATGGAGGAACAGTTTGTAGTCTGTTACCAAATCTCAAACTTAATCCCGCTCTCTGTTTGCAGTGAATAATTACATGCAATATCAGATACTTTTAGGATATCTCCATATTGTAACTTGGCCTGTGCATCTTGGAATGTTAGTACTGTGTCAGAGACCATCCCAGACACACGCTCCGTGCTGCTGCCAAGCTGTGTCTGTGATGAAAATAACACTTAACTGAGCAACTGCTGTTAGGCAGTCTCTGAAGTCCTGTCCATTCAGAAATACTTGGACAGATCTGCACAGATTTGCTGTTGGTTTTTTTCATCCTGAGCAGTTTTAGTGATGTCTGTCTTTGGGAGCAAAGCACGCGGTGTGTGTACTGGTAGCATCTTTTCCTGGTGGGTTTTTCCTTTTGTTGTGACCCGTTACTTTAGGCTGTGCAGACTGCACTTTCCTGGTGCCAGCATGCACTGCTGCTGTTGGTACACACCCCAGTGGTGCAGCAGAGGAGGCACTGCCTGCTGCCGCTTCAAGCTCTGCTGCTCATATCAGCCTGCTTGCTGGTCGCAGCACCGGAACTTTACCAGGTGATGATTTACTTGAGTTTCGGCTCATTTCTTGTTTGTGTTGTTGAGCTCCGAGGCCGCTCTGTCTGTTGAGGACCTTATCTATACGTAAGTGCATGAAACTGGCCAAAGGAGGGGATTCTCACAGCAGGTTTTGGTGCCGATCGGCCCAGTGGGATGTCACAGAATCCACCAAATTCAGCATGTGGAAATGAATAATGGATGTTAATGTATGTGGAAAAAGTGAATGATAATTTTAAAAACTGCTTACTGAGTAGGAGACAGCGTGCTTTCTGGGCACTGCACGAGTTCCTCAGTAGCTCTCTGAGCCTGCCTGTGTGCTCAGCCATGCACGGTGAGGGCCTTCTGCTGGGTGGAAAGCGCCCTGAGGCCAGGGCTGGCATCTAGGCATCGTAATCTTTATCTGTAGCTGTGGGCCAAACAACTTTGCTAAATAGTAGCACCTGAAGGGAGTTTGAAATACATGCTGTGCACTGTGATGTCGTGGTGGTGTTGATCAGTGGTATGATGCATTAATTTGGGAAGGTTCCACGAGAGATGCTTCTCTATTCTTTTTCCTCGGCTGACTATCCAGCATTTGCTGTGTCCCTGTGGTATTCCTTCTGGTTCTGTGAGGGGGAGCTGAGCTACTTAGCTGTTGCAGCGCTGCCTGGAAAAGCATCTGAGAGCGGGTGCGTTGTGGGCCCTCAGCTCCCCTGTGCGCTCCTCTGATAATAAACAGAGCTGTGTGAGTAGGTGGTCTGGTTTGTCACAGTAGGGGAGTAAATGTGCATTAACTGTAAGCGTTGCGAATGAATGCATACATAGTGCTATATATAATAATTAGGTTAATTTACTTATAGGAACAAATCAAATGGCATAATGAAGGAAGAATTCTGCTTAATGTTACCAGAATCCAGAGTGATTCAGCTGCAGCACATTGAGCTTTATTTCTTCCAAAACCTTTCTTCCTTTGTATTTTCATTAAGGAGAACAGTGTAAACCATTCCAACCCAGTCTGGGCTCTTCTGCCTTGGATTGCTGGCTGCTGTGATGTAAGCATTAGTGTGGTCATCCACAGAACCCGAATCTCGTCAACTTTCCAGCTTTACTTTCCAACTTTAGGTTGTGTAACTGCAGTATTAGTAGAGATGGCAACTTAGCTGTTAGTGAGCATTATGCTATAAAGCTTAACTTCACCCAGTGAACGATGATGCTGGAGCTGGTGATGCTCTTCACTGGTTCAAACTGTGCTACTTACTGTTGTTTCTATTGCCAGCATCCTCTCCATTTCAGCTTAGCTGCAGTGCCTGCATGTGTAGGTGCCTAAGGTTGTATGGAAAAACTGTGGCTTAATTTAGTCATGAAAATAAAGAAAACAAAGTTCTTCAGTCTTTTGCCGAATACAGTAGGCTATGAATTTCTGGTAATGGCCACGTTGTGACTTTTCTGCAGCATGCAGTCAGCTGGACATTTTGGAAGCATGGCAGCAACACGGTGTCTGTAACAAAGACCAGGGTGCAATACTTTGATGCGATGGGAGTTGTGCTACTGTGTGTTGAGTTCTCCACCAGGATGGCATGGGTTGTTTTCTGGGTCAGGGCACCACTGAGTGAAAACTCATTCAGCCAATGCTGAAGATGAGACTTGAATTTTGCTTACAAGTCACAATGAGACGTAATCATAGGGGTATGCCACAGACACACACAGCTGGCACTCTGATGGACCTTCTTACTAAACCACACTCTGCTGCTTGAAGCCTTAACCTATTTCTGATTATTATTATTATTACTTTTATTTTTTCACGTGCCAAACCAAGGCTTTCTGGCACTGGTGAGGAGCAGCTTCGTGCAGGGTTTGTGCCAAGCCATGTGGATGGCACTGGAGAGAGTAAGAGTGTCCAAAAACGTGCATTGGTTTAATTAGGTGAATGTCATCACTGAAACAAACACTAATTTGGGAATTGTAATTTTCAGTGGAGAAAAGGCAGGTATTTTTTAAAAATGTAAAACTAAGGAGAGATTTCAGCTTCCTTAGACAGTTTAACTTTGAAAGAGGTAAGGCTTTACCGACTGGCCATGTTTGTCAGCTTCTGAAAGGATGTTATTCTTGCTATGCCAAAGCAAAGGCCTTTTAGACTGTGGCAATTTAATCTTGATATGTAATTTTATTCTATACTGTATCTAAAACTTGTCATAAAGGATTAAAAAAAAAAAAAACACAAAAAGCAGGACAGGAGAATGCATTTAACTGAAGTGTGAGAAGTCTTTTTTAATCATTCCTAATGCTGGAAGGGAGCTGGGTTTTCTGGCTATAGCCGGGAGAGTGTTATCATTGCTTCCACGGGGAGCAGCAGAGCTGACAGCACAGGGCACTTCTGTGAGCTAATACAGTTTTTTCCTCAAGGGAGGAAAAAATGGTGTTTATGTTCAGCAGGAATATTCTCTCCTCTCGTAGGAGAGAGGAGCTGTGTCTCATTGCGGGCGGTTGGCGGCTGGGTGCCTGCAGTGGGGCAGCGCTCTGCTCTGCTGCAGCCATCGCGGTGCCTTTGGAATGCTGCGTGCAGATCCAGGTTTGAAGCCCAAATAGGTAATGCAGGGAAAGCAACGTCCTGTCTGTTTTCCCTAGTGAGCAGAGATGGAGGATGTGGGTGTATGGAAATAGGGATGAGAGGCTGCCTGTGTTAGACCAGGGTGGGCCTTTCAGCCTTTGTGCACGAATACACAAACAGCTTTTCTGTTTTTCTTTAAGGTCTTTTTTGGGATGCTATTTTAAATGCTATCCGTGTTTATCCAAATATGCTGCATATGTATCCTTTTATAAATAGAAGCAGGCTCTACAAAATGGTTCAGATGGTATGGGAGCTTACTTGGCTGTTAGCAGTGTAAACTGAGGGATGCTACTCCTCAAAACTCAAAAAGAAATGAAGACAGACACATTTGGTGACCATGGACTTGTGATTTTTGAGGTTCGCTACCTGAGTCAGTTGCTATTTGTACATGTACCTTTTTTGGTTAACAACTTATTCTGTTAGGTAATACTTCTTAGCTGAAATCGACTTCAGGATCCTGTGGCACTGGAATCTCTGTGCGTGTTTTCATGGGATGTGTGATGGACAACCGGAACAAGAGCTATGAAGGGAAACCACAGATTTTGTTTAGCTTGCAGCAGGAGATGTCTGGAATAAAGTAATACAGTGGTATAGACTGGTTAAGGGCATGGAACAGATGCATGCTGGAATGGGGAGAGGCATCTTTAAAGCTGAATCAGTGTATTTCTGTAAATGCTACGAGAGTGGAACATTGATTTAATGTCCTTTGAGTCAAGCCAGCAGATACAGGATTCCTTCCTCGCTGAGCCATGTGTAGCATAAAGTTGTGCCAGGCTGCCAGAGAGCGGCCATCGCTTATTGCATGGCAGTGGGAGTGCCAATGAAGTTGGAAGGAAGAGG